AACATTCCCAGGACACACTTCCAGAAGCTTCTCTGCAGGGTGACAGCAAGTAGAAAAATAGGAACCATAATGGGTCTGACCCCCACAGACACACACACACACACACACACACACACACACACACACTCTCTCTATGGCTATCCACCTGCTCAGGAACTCAGGAACCTAGAAAACCACCTGCACTTTATACAGGACTGACCTGCCCTTGTCAGCCTCCAACAACAGAAGCAGGACTCAGAAACCCTCTAGGGCAGCCACACGGAACTTTCTGTGATGGTGGACATAGTCTATAAGCCACATTGTCCAGTGTGGCAGCCACTAGCCACATATGGCCATTGAGTACTGGAAATACGGCCTGTGCAATGGAGAGTCTGAGCTCTGAATTTTATCTCACTTGAATTAATGTGAATTTCAGCAGCCACATGCGGCTAGCGGCTCCCAGGCTTGCAGAACATTAGAATCAGCCTCGTCCCTGGAATTAACTGGTCTGAGGAGGCCCCGGGCCCAGCTGTTCTTAGAATATTTCTCAGTTGACTCTAAGGTGCCCTGGGAGCTATCTACTTTTTTCATGCATTCTCAAAGCAAAATTCACTTCAAACTGCTTCTCTCGTTATTGGTGGGCATCTCTCTGATTTTAATTTTTCTTACGCCCAACAGCGAATGATTCTTGGGATCTTGGAAAGTACAGGGTACGGTTTTTGGCACTCATATTGTAACTACTGATTCAAACTACTGATTCGAACTGTTCTAATACTTATGGGTGAAAAAGGGCTCAAATTTCCAGCCTGAATCCAAGCCACTTACAAAATCGGCATATGTACTGTATTCATATGCACACATATAAATCTTAATCTCGAGAGCAAAATGGCCAGGGTCATGTGATCACCACGGGACCCGGCCCACCCCGGGATGACGCTGGTGGTCAAGATGTGGTGTCAGAATGTAGGAGGGTGAGCTAAGCAGCAAGCAGGGCAGGCTGAGGGTCAGCAAGATAGCCTTCTGTCTTTGGCTGGGGGTATTACTATCAGTGGGGAGACAGGTGCTATAGTGATGCTCGGGCTAGAACCAGTGGGGGCCGGTGGGGCGTGGGGGCACAACAGCAACAGGAAATGTCCAAAACCTGACTGGTGGTCAGAGACAGAGATGCAGCTTCGGGACAGGAAGGGCTGGAGACAGGGCCACGGGCGGCCGGTCCTGGGACGCGTCAGAGCTAGGCTCCAGGCCAAGCTTGGCCACAACCCAGACCCGGGCTGTGTGGTTCCTGACCTGCTCCTTTTAGGGGTTCTGCCTCCTCTCAGGGGAATTCTCTGGAATGGGGCAGAGGGGGCCATCTTTTGGTGAGAGGGCAGGTGGGGACAGGATGGACAGGGAGGGGGTGTCCACATGACACCAAGTCATAAGGACACTGCCAGGGGGGTGGTCAGACCTCAGATACCGCAACTCCCCAAAAGAAGTTACTTGGATCAAGGGGGCGGGAAGAAGGATATCCCGTGTCAGTGGGTTTGCTCTTGTGTCCCCCTGCCCACTGACTGCCCTACAGGTGAGGAGGCCGGGACCATACAGGAGGACACAGTCTCAGCAGGACTGAACGGCCAGCACCCCAAGTATCCCGAAGTTGAATTTCCTGCCCATGTGCTTTGGTATCCCTCTGGCTGGATGCCCCCTATTGCCTTTCAGATGTCCCTGTGCCCACTTGGTCTCTGCTGCCCTCTCATGATGGGGCATCTCACCACCTAGCAAAGGAAAACCCACAACCCTTAGTTGAAACGGGGAAAAAATTGCAGAAGTGTCATGCAATGTGTAGGATGGCCACCAGGTGTCGCTGTGGCTGCAAACCCATTTTTACATCTACCTTCTCTCCACCGGCTCCCCACACAGGACAGGTGTAACCCCACAAAATCACATGCAGTTCAGTCTCCGATGGGCGTTCCCCTCTATGACCCTGTTTGGACTTGCCATTAACCTTGGCTCACTGGCAGGGCTGACAAATCCACAGTTGAGAAAACTCAGCGTGACCATGCTCTGTGACACACTCAGGGCAGCCTGGGGACGTTGAGGGGACTGGACTGAGTCACAGAGTCATGGAGTGACATTGCAGACTGGAAGCAGCTCTCACCACTCCTTGCTAGGAGAGATGGAGGGGGGTTTCTGGG